GCAGTGGCCATGAGGGTGCCACTGCCCTCCAGCCTGGGCGACAGAGTGAGACACTGACTCAAAAAAATAAAAAAGTCGCTCCAGGCAACAGATACCCTTGCTGTTGTCCTGCCCGTTGTGTCTTTCACAACACATCATTCCTTTACTAAACCTTTCTTTTCTTGAGTTGGAGTCTCTCTATCGCCCAGGCTGGAGGGCAGTGGCACACTCACAGCCACCCCAGCGTTGACCTGCTGGGCTCCGGCGATCCTTCTGTTGCAGCCTTCCAAGTAGCCGGCACTACAGGCATGCACAACCACACCCAGCTAATTTTTGATGTATTGTAGAGATAAGGTCTCACCAAGTTGCCTGGCTGGTCTTGAATCCGCAGGCTCAGGCAATCTACTCACCTTGGCCTCTCAAAGTGCTGGGATTACAGGCTGAGCCACTGAGCCCAGTCCCTACCTTTCTTAATTCATTAAAAAGAGAAAAAAAAAGCTTGCTCCACTGGATAGAGTTAGTCAAATTCTGTCTAATTCCAACACTGTACTTAGTGTTGTTTCTGGTAAAGTGTTTAGTAAATGTTTGTTAAATAAACAAATTCGTGTTATTTGGTTTATGTAACATTACTTTTTGGTGACTGAATTATGAATTAAAGATAATTCTGAGAGGAATCTTTGCAGTCTTTCCAAGTTATTTCTTTTAGAGGGTCTAAGAATGCCCTGGATATTTTTAAATACTTGTGCTAGATGCAGTTAAAACTGAGTTACTAATACTTTGAGCCTATCAGCAGCAGCCTTCCCAGTTGGGACTTTGAAAAAAGTTTTAATTTCATGAAAGGTTTTTGGGAATACTCAGCTTCATTTGGCTTTTACATGGTCTTCTGCATACATCTGAGTACCCATAATTAACTCATTCAAACTGCAGCATTTTTCAACCTTAGATTTCAAATGGTTTAATCAGAATACCTGTTTATAAAAGGCAGGGCAGGTATCACTCAAATGTTGAGTGCCAACATACAGGTTCTGCATGTTCCCAAAATTTATATCAAAGTGTTCAACTTTAAGAAGCTTGAAGCAACCTGAAATTATATATAACTATATACAATTAGTGAATGAAGCATACTGCATGAAAATATCTAACATACAAATGCTTTACAAATGTGTGAAGCCCTTTATATACATTTTCTTTAAAAAAAAAAAAAGCTTAAGAGTGAACTGTGTCATAGACGGACATTTTGCATTTAAAAGTATCCTTCTAGCCGGGCTCGGTGGCTCAGCCTGTAATCCCGCGCCTTTGGGAGGCTGAGGTGAGTGAATTGCCTGAGCCCGCGGGTTCGAGACCCGCCTGGGCGGCGAGACCTCATCTCTATAATAAATCAAAAAATCAGCCGGGCAGGGTGGCGCATGCCTGTAATTCCGGCTACTCGGAAGGCAGAGATGGAAGGATCGCCGGAGCCCAGCAGGTCGAGGCTGCGGTGGCCGAGAGCGGCCACTGCACTCCAGTTCGGGCGACAGAGTGAGATTCCAACTCAAAAAAAAAAAAAAAAAAAAAGCATCC